GGGGGGGGGGATTGGATATTTAATGTTTGTCTTGCATTTGTGCGATAGCTGTTTGACCGACAAAGTCAGGTTGACAAACACACGTGAAACCCTAATTTTATTAGTAGGGGAGGACCCTTTATTCTTCTTCTTCAACGTCTTGGAGGACCCACCATTCTACAACCTTCTTAAATGCCCGCGTGTTAGGGCTTTTTTTTTTTTTTGAGGTGGGGCTGCTTTGGTAAATGGTGCAGAGTGGTGAACCCCTAATCCATGAATCATCTGTGTTAGGTATTAGGGGGTGTTGAAATTTTTTGATTATTTGTAAATTTTAATTTTATTTTATTTTATTTTATCCAACTATTCTGATTAGTTATCAAAAAGATTGGGGTAGCAAACAGAAAATTTTTTAGTATTTTGAAAAAAATCGAATAAAAATATAAAATACCTATAAAATTTTCGTATTCTTATCTTATCTACATATAAATATAAATAAATATATATATATATGTATACATATATAATCTAAAAATATAGAAATCCTAATATTTTATTGATATTTATGATTTTTTTATATATGATGTATTGATATTTTTAACTTTTTTATTGTGTTTTATTGTAATTGTATGTATTATCGAATTTATTATATNTATATATATATATGTATATATATATAATCTAAAAATATAGAAATCCTAATATTTTATTGATATTTATGATTTTTTTATATATGATGTATTGATATTTTTAACTTTTTTATTGTGTTTTATTGTAATTGTATGTATTATCGAATTTATTATATTTNTTATATATGATGTATTGATATTTTTAACTTTTTTATTGTGTTTTATTGTAATTGTATGTATTATCGAATTTATTATATTTTTTTTAGTATTATTAATTTATTGTGTTAGTTAATTGATGCAGGTTATTTAATTAAATTGTTAAAATGATCTAAAAATTAATAAAAAAAAAATATGTGTTCATCGATTTCTCACTCGACTTAATACGTGATTGTTTTGGACGAAATTCAAATAAAAATAGTATACTTGATTACATAAGATAGGCCAAAAAAAAATTCTTTCGTAAAATATCGGATATGAAGATAAAATATCATAACTCCTACTCGTTAGGTAGGGTGAACACCCTTATTAGAGACAATACAAAGAAGTTATTATTTTTGTGTGAAAAAAATTGAGTTAAATTTTATATTATTAAATTAAAATAAATTAAATTAAACTATCTTAACTATTATTATATTTTTTATAAATTTAAAGTTTGACTTATTAACTATATATAAAATAGATATATGGTAAAATATTGTTTTGGTATAGAGTACCAGTTATTGTCCATACTTGAAGGCACGGAGTAATTGAAAAATGGTCAACTATAAACATATTTATATTCATACTCAAAATCAAATCTCAAACATAGAGAAGAGATAAAAGAATTTAAACACCGATTATAATGAGGATGAGCGTAATAGTAATGGTGGGCAGTAATGGTAAAGGTGGAAGACGATAATCATTGTGGTGGATGGCGACGATCGTGATGGCGGCGACAGTTGTGGGTGGAAACGGTGATGGTGGTGGTGAATTTTGGATGACGATGGTGGTAGTGGCGATCATGGGTGACGGCGGTTGTGGATGAATACAGGTACTTTTAGGCGGCAATGTGATAGGTGGTGGTGAATGCGGTGGTGGTGGTATGTGTGGTAGGGGTGGGAGATAGTGGGTGACGACAATGGTGGACGATGATGAGTGGTGGTTGTTGGTGGTGGTAGGTGTCGTGAGGTAGGTGACAATGGTTGGCAGCGAAGGTGGGTAACAACAGGTGGTGGTGGGTGCTGATGATGAATAACGGTGGTAGTGAAATGATAGTGTTAGTGGTAATAAATATAAGAATGAGATGATGATGGTGGTGGGTGGTGGCGGTAGACGACAGTGATAGCAATCGGTAGTGGGTGGTAATGGGGTGACAGTGGGGCAATGGTGAGGTAATGGCGGTGGTGATGGGGAGTGACGACAGTGGTGGTGATGGTAGGGTGGCAGTGATGGTAGTGGTGATGGTGATGAGGCGGTGGTGCTAGTTGTGGGGTTAGTGCTAATGGAGATGATGTTGATGGGGTGGTGAGGGTGATGGTGTTGATGGGGGCGATGGCGATGGTGGTGGTCATCGACACCATTTTATTGTTACCACCACCACAATAGTAGTGGCAACAATGGTGTGGCGATGGTGACGAAGATGGAGAGAATTCATGGTGGTGGGCAAGGATGATGACGACGATGATAAGTGAAGATGGTGTCAACAATGGGTAATGACAAAAATAATAAGGTAGTTGGCGATCATGGNGCAAGGATGATGACGACGATGATAAGTGAAGATGGTGTCAACAATGGGTAATGACAAAAATAATAAGGTAGTTGGCGATCATGGTGGTGATTTGGAGTGGTGGTGACAGTGCCATAGTGGGGGGTGGGAGGTGGAGGTGGAGGTAGAGTTAGTGGGGTAATTCCAACGGTGATGAGGTAGTAATGGGAAATAGNATGGTGGTGATTTGGAGTGGTGGTGACAGTGCCATAGTGGGGGGTGGGAGGTGGAGGTAGAGTTAGTGGGGTAATTCCAACGGTGATGAGGTAGTAATGGGAAATGGTGGTATTAATAATGGTGAGTGTTAGATATACATGTGTAATTGATTAATTTTATGAAGTCCATTATAAATCTCAACTTATTCCATAATCATGACGCTATCAAAATCATAAATCCAAAAACGTCGTTGAAGGAAAAAGATCAAGCGTCAAAACTACATTATTCACACTCCAGTTGTACCTTCAAGCTTAGGACAAAGATAATGAACAAAATACATAAGATGATCCATTGATTTATTTAACTTAGAAGGATTAGAGTTAAAAATAGAATTAGGGATTAATCCGTGTATGGGTCCTAGGTGATTTAAAAGAAAAGACTTTTTAAACTTTTTTGTGTTTTTAAAACATAAATTGAGCCATTAGCAAATCCTTCTTGAGCAACAACCTTCAGTGCTTAAAAGGACAATTTTTTACTTGGTTTTAGGCTTAAAAAATCAGTAGTAATAGAGTGATCTCTTTATGACTTTGCTAGCCTTCACTAGAGCTTGCTATACTTTGCTAGAGCGACCTTTTTATAACTTAGGGAAGAATAGGAGAAGAGATCACAAGATGTAGTGCAGGGCTTGCTCTATGAGTTTGCTTGAACAGCCTTGACAATCGCTTGAGTGGTCTCATGGTCACTCGAGCGGTCTGTACTCCTCAGTTAGCTTTGAAACGTTATTGTCATTTTTGTGAAAACCTCCTTGTGATGCCCTCTCATCGATCGAGCGGTCATTTGCCCTCTCACAGAGGAGGAGGGTGGTGGCAACGATCAGAAACTGTGTTTAAACTTGATTAGATCAAGGCTAGTATTTGACACTATATCTTTAAAACAGATTTCTCCATTCACTTGGTGTTTATGGAAATCAAAACATCTGTCTCTTATGGTACAATGATTTTCATGCAATTGAAAGTAGAACTCCAATTCAATTGTCCAGCGAACTGAAACTGTGTTGTGTACTCTCATAATGCAAATTGCTTTAATGTCGAAAAATGATGTAATGAGACTACCTTAATACGAAAATTGATTGATACAAAATGGAAGGAATTTGGATTATCTATAAAAAGAA